GGACTCAGTATACCCAGTATATTTTATAGTCGACTCAGTATACCCAATACATTTTATAGTCGACTCAGTATACCCAATACATTTTATAGTCGACTCAGTATACCCAGTACATTTTATAGTCGACTCAGTATACCCAATATATTTTATAGTCGACTCAGTATACCCAATATATTTTATGTACCGTACGTCATCGTTAGAATAATCAAAATGTGGAGAATCAACAGAACAACACACACAGCCAGAAGGATACTTTTAACATCATTTTTTTTTAAAACGATCCCGCCAGAATTTTGCCGCCCAAGGCCTGGGCCTAGTCGGCCTGTGCAGAAATACGTCACAATGTCAGTGGTTGTTGGTGTAACCCATAAGACTGCCACCTAGTACTCAACTCAACTACTGACAGGGTAACAATTTGTATCTTAGTAATGTTTGTTAACGATATCAAATTCGTCGGTAGTAACCTATACCCATAAGATAACTCTTCCATCCTTGGATTAATATTAGTTACTCGCTTCCAGGGTAAGAAAACCAAAACTTCACACAGCATTCCAAATGAGTCCAAATTGACACATTTAAGGCTACAATGAAATTTTTTGACTTCTAATCAACATGTCTATAAATACATTCTAAAATTATATTGGTTTTATTACTAACAACAGAGCACTATCTCGATAGCTTGAGTGACTCATCCACTGCTATGCCAAGAGTCTTTTATCCAATAACGCTATTGAGTGGGTTTCCATCTATATTAGACATTTGATCCAAATTATGACAACCAAAATACATTACGTGTCACATACTGTAAATATAGGCCATTTATCAAACAATTTACCAATTGATCCAAGTCATTTTGCAATACCTTTACATCCTCAATACAGTTAGAACTATCCAATAGTTTAATGACATAGGCAGTTTTTTTACCTATTTAGGCTTTATCAATAACACTCATGTAAATGATAAGAAAAGGCCCAAACAGTGATCCTTGAGGCATTTCCATATTAACAAAGATCTAATATGACTCCATTAATAACAATATTTAACTTTCTCTCATCCAACGAGCCCACAATTCAGTTAACTTCCCAACCCTTACCAATGTTTTTTTTTACCTAATATTCTGTGTGGCACCTCAATGTTTTTACTTAGTTTTAGGATTGCATATATAAAGACCGTTCTGAAAATTTGGCTTTTTACAATATATTTAAATTTTAGTAATGTAAGTAATGTAACTTTTTCAACTAATTAATTATAATTTGAAATAATTCTTGGTATTTAGTTTATTTGTTACAAATGAGCAAATTCTTTTACAGGTAAAATCCTGTTTAATGTACTAGTTTTATAACGGAGTTGATTATTTTTACTTAAAATAATATAAAGAAAACTCTAATGCTGTGAATAATTCTTTAAAATAACTCGTTGATCTCAAAGCTTAACATTATTTAAAATAAAGTATATTCATTACAGAAAAATCTGTGACAGAACATAGCTTAACGATGTATTCATTTGTGTTTTTCACTATTAACTTTATAATTCGTCTTTACAATGTTTTATTCATATCTAAAACAATATCATTCGTAGTTTATTATTATATTTTTTATACTGGCTTGACTAATTGTCAAAAAATATTAATTTCAAGACATTTAGATTTCTAGTACTCGATTATTTCAATAGCTCTTATCAAAACATTAAAACTTTTACTTACGACCGTTAAAACTGCGAACGTTAAAGGAAATTCCATTAAAACTGAGAATGATAAAATGATTTTCATGACAAACTTATCGCAATGAAGTATTATATCAGGTTATAACGAAAGTTCTGTCCGATTTTTGAGCCGAAAATGTTGAACAAGATTTAATTAAGTTCTATCTCTATCTGATGTTTAGTCATGCCCACATAGTAATACACCTCTTTTACTTTCAAGATATAGGAAGAGTATTCAAGAAATCGCTTTCAAACTGACCCCATGTTTGATCCGACTAAAAAACACATTCATCATGTCATGCTCTACGAGTCAACGCAAGTGCAGCAGCATTATTTATCCAGAGCACTTATGGTGTCGATGCAGTCAGTGAAATAACTTGTAGGAGGTGGATTTCACGTTTCAGAAATAGGGACTTCATGAAGTTTAAAGGATGAGCTAAGAGAAGGTCCTCCAAGTGGACTCGATTCAGAGGCACTGGAAGCAGCTGTTGCAGCAAATCCTGCCATTACAGTTAGGGATCTTAGCGGACAATTCCATGTTAGCCAATGACCATCCATTGCGAATTGAAAAGGCTTGGAAAAGTGTCAAAGGCTGGAAAATGGGTTCCACACGACCTGTCTGTAGAGAATCGCCAACAACGTGTCGATTACTGCGAGACATTGCGTTCACGTCAGCACCAAGTGCCTTTTTTGAATAGAGTTGTTACTGGGGATGAGAAATGGATCCTTTATCATAATGTTAAGCGCCGTCGTCAGTGGCTTAGTCGTGGTAATAGACTTGCCCAGCAACCGAGAGGGGACTTGCATCCAAGGAAGATCATGTTGAGTGTATGGTGGGATATGCAAGGAATTGTCCATTATGAACTGTTAAACAATAAGCAGACAATCACAGCAGAGGTTTACTGCCAACAATTGCGGTGTTTGAAAACAGCTTTAGGACAAAAAACGCCCATCCTTAGCAAACAGAAAAGGGGGCATTCCTCGCCACAATAATGCACGTCCCTATACAGCACGAGTAACCAAGGATCTCCTAGATGAACTTGGCTGGAAAAAATTGTTTCACCCACCATATTCTCCCGACCTTGCTCCTTCTGATTATCATTTGTTTAGTAGTTTACAAAATAATCTGAATGGATTTAAACTAATTTCAAGAGAGGAGGTCGAAAATGAGTTAATCTCTTATTTCGGGTCAAAACCTAAGGAATTTTATAAACGTGGCATCCAAAAACTTGTTGACAGATGGAACAAGATTATCGAAAGCAATGGAAAATATATTGATGATTAAACACATCTATAATCATCACTATTTTGTTTGTCTAAATTCATTTGAAAATCGGACAGAACTTTCGTTGCAACCTGATATGTATTAATTTCAAACTCAGTTTTTGCCATAGGCTTCGCTGGTTAATTAATTAAAAGACTCGAGACTCAGGCCCATAGGCGCGGAAAGTGTCGGCGTTTCAGTATGATATCGATCATGGTTTTCTATTTTGATTTTTCAAGACACCAACTGGGAATTCGGGGCACTATCAAATACAATCGGGGCACGGCCCCCGTGTGCCAGTGCCTAGTGACCCCTCTGGCTTTTGCTATTCTAAAATATATTTAAACTTCTAATATATATATATATATATACATATACATATACATCTAATTTCTATTCAACAAAATTTCTTTTGCACTGTTTAAAATCTCTATCAGTAATGGTCTTTAATTACCAGTACTGTAACTCAGACTTGAAGTTTAATTAAAGTTATCGAAAACCATTAATATAACAACTTAACCATTTATAATTTACACCTAATTTTCACTTAATATCGCTTAACCTTAATCCTAATTTGTTTGTGTGTAATTATAAAGAAATTATACGCATATAATTTATTTATAATTTAATTTTTAAGAAACCACTTTGACTTATATAGAAAATAAAAAAGCTTCAGACTACCTTCTCAAGTCTTGTACGTATATTCAGCTTACCGTTTTGTATTCATTATATGTACCTTCGTTTTCACACATTTGTTCATGAGGTCCATAACGCAACGCCCCCTGGATGACAGGCATAAAAGACTTTGGCCATTTATAATCTCTAATGTATTTATGGAACCCTTCATTCTGAGCAGAGGGTGGCGATTCAAACACACCTGAATATCTAGAAGGAAAACAGTAATTCTTACTTTTTCTACAGACTTGTAATACAAATTGTTCTACATTAACATTTTGGAAAGCATTAACATATCTACATACATCATACAGTTAGTTGGTATTCAGATACACTAATGTCCAGACTTAGTTGACCGCTAAGTCTAGAATATATTGAACAATACGGCCAGTAAAACAAGTGTAGTTTGAAACACAAAAAAATATTTATTTAACAACACAGCATTATATCACCTGAACTGGCCTGGTTTCTCCTTCCGTCTTGTCTGGCTGTTGGGGTTGAGGACTACACAACAATAGATCATGCCGAAGAGAAAAATGTTTGTTTTAACTTAAGCACAAAGCTACACATTGAGTTATCTGTGCTCTGCCCACCACAGGTATCGAAACCACTAGAGGGCAGAGAAAAATGAAGAAAAAGAGTAAAATCAAGAAACAGCTATAGATACCTATCTATCTATCTATATAGTAAAATTCCTTAGTTTCGAAACCCGCGGTGGGCACAACACTATTAGCCCGTTATGTGAAGCTTTGTACTTAGCAAAAAACAAACAATACAGTCTTCAAACAATACTATACAGTTGTAGACGTTTCGCCTGTTTGAATAGGCTATTTTCCAAGAAGTTCATAACGATACAGCACATGCAAATTCAAGTCTCAAGAACAAAGGTTGCAGTATTAGTTTTTACTTGTGTAAAAGTATCAGCATATCTTGACGACCTTGAGATATCAAGTTAATAACAATATCATAACCAGATGCAGAAACTACATGCACATTTAGAAAAATATTACCTGAATAAAGATATATTGTATACAAGTTATGGAGAGGTAAAATTCATTGTTATCTCAGTCATTACAAGTGTTCACAGAAGATGAATAAGGTATCTCCGTTTCGCCAGATTTTAAAAACTTATTGAGTATAGACATTTTTAATGTTGCTATTTTCTTTATGTTTCTTTGATACATTTTAACGCTTTTAACAAAACAGTAAATTTGATTTTAAAACATTAAAGCCAATAAATTTTACCTTTAGAGATTCGCACTAGGTACGAGATATGTAAACATTCTTGACTTTTAAATGTACAGTATATGAAATATTGTTTTAAAACAACAATATTTTATAGATCAGTTATTGTACCTTTGTTTACAAATGACATTTTAATAAAGCTTTTTTAAAGGAAATTGGTCGACATGTGAGGTAAAACTGGCGGTATGAACGCAAAATACAAGTAATCTAATATTAAAAAATTGTAAATGCTTTGATGCCAAAATAAGAAAAACACTAAATAGTAGTTTAATCCTTAAAGTACACTGTTAAGTGTGCAGAAATAGAACAGTTTGAATTAATTAACTAACATAGATGTTTGGAAAACAATGTTATTGTTCATGTCCATTTAGTATCCCTTCAGAATTAAATCAGAAAATACAAACTACGTTATCATAATATCAGAAAATGAGATTGAAAATAAAATACTCGAACAAGCAGGGGTAACCATATCCCTGATGCACACAACATCATTTTTTCACACATTTAACAAGCTTGAAAATAAAAATACTCGAATAATAAAAGTAATCTGAAAACGTAACTCAGATCCCTGATGCATACAACATTATTTTAATATCCACTATTTCATATACGTCTAAACTAACTGCATGATTGTATGCCATTTTGTTTGCCATTTGCATTATTTTATAATAAATAGTGAATAACACTTGATTAAAGGTAGCTGTTTTCCTTTAGTGTAACATCGTTTAAAGGTAGCTGTTTTCCTTTAGTGTAACATCGATTAATGACAGCTGTTTTCCTTTAGTGTAACATCGATTAATGACAGCTGTTTTCCTTTAGCGTAACATCGATTAATGACAGCTGTTTTCCTTTAGTGTAACATCATTAATGACAGCTGTTTTCCCTTAGCGTAACATCGATTAATGACAGCTGTTTTCCTTTTGTGTAACATTGATTAATGACAGCTGTTTTCCTTTAGTGTAACATCGATTAATGACAGCTGTTTTCCTTTAGTGTAACACTGATTAATGACAGCTGTTTTCCTTTAGTGTACCATCGATTTCTGAAACATCTTCTAAAGCTAATCGTATATCTTAATCCTTTTGATAAATTTACGAATGAAAAACTATAAACATACGTAAATTTCAGCTCACTCTGTCATTACATTTATACTTAATTCGATACATCACGGTGGTAAACGTTCTGAATGTATTAATAATATGAAGTGGTATTTAATTTATAAAAATGTTTCAACAATTTTTTTCAGAACTCACGATCAAAATTCTTACCCAGCAAGCCCTGCGATAAGATTGCTCATCGGAGAACTGAGACAAAAAGACATGTTAGTCTTGGGGTAGTAGAAAAAGAAGGCAAGACACATCTCATCTTTTGTGCTGAACCCGCCCTTAAAAAAGGGAAACAATTCAAAAGTTCAAGTTAGAAAGACTGTTACCTTGAAGAGACTACTGATTTTGATTTTTAACTGTTCGTAAATATTTCAAATTACACTTTTAGTAATCCTTTTATTCATCACCTTCCTCATAAACCTAAAAACAATTCTTATTTATAAACGATATACAACAACAAAACTGGTTCTGGGACAAATCAGGCAATGCAATATGAAAAAATAACAACAAAAAACTCGGGAAAATTAAATTTTAGAAAAATTGTACATCTTTAACAAACAGTGAACCGATGATGTGCAATAAATTTCAATTATTTATCTGACTGTCTACACAGTTTATTTGTTTCATTTGCAGTGGATTTTACATCGTGTATGGTTTTTATATAATTTACTTAAATTGGGATTAATAACATGTATAAGAAAACTACAGAGAATGAAAAAAAAACGGTAATGAAAGAACATATGTGCATGATCATTTGTTAGACTGTCAGTTGAACTGGAAAGGCACAACTGAAGCCAGCTGTACCGTTTCTCCATCAGTCATTGTCGGTAGTTACATACACCTCCATGGTAAAAGCTTCAGGCTTGTCTTGTTTACGTGCTAGTGAAATGCATGCATGTTAACATGTTTCACACTTCAGAAAGGTAATGGATATAACCATTTGATAACATTATATTAATCAAACACCTTCTAAAGATATTGTAAAACTTGTGACACTAATCACATGAATGAATTTCTACAGTGTTAAAACAAATAAAAAAAACTATAATTTTAAACCGAATATTATGTCTCATTATTTGCAAAATATAGAATCAACCCCTTTCTGAGCTTTCTGCTTCTAAACTAAACAAAACTGTGTTTTTATTGCCCTGATTTTCTACACCTACAACAAATTATTTCTTCATCAGTTTTCAGATTAAATATATCCGCCCAAGAAGATAGAATGACATATTTTTATTTTAGTTCTTTAGTTTTCTAATACAACTCGATTGTTCAGTCGTTTCACAACAAATTTTAGTTTTAGTTTCATTCAAAAAACAAATAATTTTATAACTCTTTTCCTTTCCCTCGTACTTGAAGTTATTTGAATTATTAACTTGTATATAAATTTGCATGTACTTACAAACGTTGTGGTTTGACGACTGGTAGAATCGTAAACACATTCAACAGTTAAGTGATCTTCCTGGTGAAAGAAAAAAAAAGTTTGTTTTATAAAACCACTGTTTGTAGTTAAGCACAAAGCTACACAATGGAGTATCTGTGCTCTGCCTACCACGGGTATCGAAACCCGGTTCCTAGCGTTATATTCCACTGGGAAGCATTTATAAAACGACACAGTTCAAATTTAAACGTATCTACAAGTTACTGTATCTGAACACAAAAACCAAAAAAAATAAAAATCTGCCATAATATTACTTACTGGTAAAATGGTGACCTCTTCTGGTAAATATCGGTACTCCTAAAAAAAATCAAAAACAGAATTATGGATAATAGTATTTTATTATGAAAATATTTTTTCTTCCACGATGTATGTGTAATACACAAACCGCTGCGCTTTTGAAATAAATTTGAACAGTAACATATTGTGGTTATCAGTTTCATCTTAACCGAAAAAAAGTATTACTTATCATAGCAAAAATCCATAAACCTTGTCTTTTAAAATGTTATCTGAACTTTTAACTCCCATACAAAATCAGCGAAGCATTAAAACACTAACTTTTGCTTAAACAGAGCCGTTGGTTCTACAAAAATGCTTAGGCGATCTAAGCAATATTAATAGAAATTTGAGCCAAACTCAAGGCAATATTAACAGAAGTCTGAGCAAAAATCAAGGTATAATATTCGCACTATAGAATAAGTCAAACAATAACAATGGTTATTTGAATAAATTTATATTAAATGTTATAATACGTTTTCAAAATGATGGGAATTAAAACAAAGGGTTGTAAGACAACTTACTCAAAAGCCAAGCAACAGACGTACATGTTGTGCATTAGTTTTCACTCACTTAAGTTTCTAACTATAACTTGCCTGAGAACTATATTAATACTCATAAGGAAATTTGCCCCAAAAGTAGTTGTATCAGGACAGTACACTAACTCTTTTTAATTTCTACCTGTTTCAGGTTAATGTAAAAGCACCTTTAACAGTGTATAAGCACTGAACAAACACACATACGCACATAAACAAAATAAAACGAATTTTGACAAACCTCAACCATCCAGAAAAAAAAAAATTCAGTATGGAAGATATAGTCAACTTTTGGACAATCCTATGCATGTAGAATATAAATTGAATATTGAAAAAAGTAATGATAATAAGTTTTACAGTCTGTATAAGAGAAACATATACTAGGTCAACAGAACAGTAACCAAAACTTCTTGTTATGTAACGTTTGAAATGAAAAACACCGAAACCAACAAAACTAACTTGTTTCATTGCATATAAAACGATAAAAACCCTATAATTCGAGCGCTTTCGAAAGGTGGACCTTTATTCTTCAGGAGCAAACTGGGAAGGCAACACTTTCCAGTTTACCCCTAAAGAACAAAGATCCATCTATCGAAAGTGCTTGGATTATAGAGTTTCTGTCGTTTTGTATTAAGACTTCTTGAACCTAAGTGTTTTTCTGATATCGTGTTCGTACAGCTATAATATTCCATGTTTGTTACTAGAGACTTAATACACTCCGCAGTCTAGTTGTTAAAAAAATAAAGAGTTTTGGCAATCACGTGAAACTTAATAGAATACTCAGCCATGTAGTATAACGAATATCTTCACTTATTTGAAATATACTCCTTAGATTGAAAGTGATGAACAATACCTCCATCTAGTGTTGATTTTTGTCAACATACCTGGTAGTTAAAATCATAATTTCTGTCCACAACGATGGGAGCGAGTTCTGATCCATTTCTGAAGTGTCTGACAAGAATTTCCTTTCCTAGAGATCGAAATTTCAATAACGTTTTTATAATATGGTGCGTTTATTTATACGACTTAATTAACTGTCATTTTATGTTAATGTAACTAAGATATTGTATACAAAAGTGTTACTAGGATGAACCTGAGAATGAAGAAAGAAAAAATAATCAACTGCTCGCTGTTTCTACACAAAACACACCATAAAGTTACGGATTAGAACAAAAGTTAACCAGAACCGATCTAAAGTTAGATCACGGGCAGTGTGTCACTGACAGGCCAACATTTCTGTTCACAACCCGAATGTGTATAAATACCAAATTAAAAGTCTGAGGTTTTGGCATAAATCTACGCATTCGCTTTAAATACCTTTTATAGTAAACAAAAACTGCCAAAAAACCTCGTCCGTGTCAATGGCGATGAGCCAAAATATGATATGAAGTACTGGCGTGCACACAAAGTCTTAGTTTATTATATTGTCGTGAAAAATGTTTTCAATATACGCATTTTATACATTTTTTGTTGTTGTTTGGCCAGAAGGTTTGATGTAAAGCGATGGGCGTGGCTTTAATGTCTGTAGCTTTCTTCAAAGTTTAGGAAACTGTTTAAGCCATACATAAAAAGTGATGTAGACTAGACTGAATTATTCGAGTTAGTCAGTTAACTGGTAATCAGTTTGTCTGTCACTGTCAGGCAGTTAGTTCAGTGCTGTGAATATATAGTTTAGGCTTCGACGAATAAAAAAAAAGGTCAGCAAGTAAGTAGAATTTCTGTTCAGAGTTAACTTGTTTGTGAAATTAGGCCTATTAGTAAATGTGAAATTAGACGTATTAGTAAACACTGGTAACTCTAAACGTGAAGCTTGAAGTTCGAGAAATAAATTTTGCTTTATTCTTTTTACTGAATACTCCACAAGAATCAGGCCAATTATAGAAACCACTAGAACAATACCAAAGCGTTTTTAATTTTCAGGAATGACATTTCTTTAATTAAAACGATTTCTTCTGTAAAACATCACTGGCTATAAGAAAGGAGCGGCTTGTCGTTAAAAATGTCATTTCTTCAAGACTGCTTTCCACAGTCAGCCGTGTACCCGACTCTTATAAATATAAATTATTAGGAAAGAAGACTTTATGCTTAAGGAAAGTTTTGTATTCCAGAGCCACTCTATACTACAAAACATTCCTTAAGCATAAAGTCTTCTTTCCTAATAATTTCCTGTTAAAGGAGTTAGATATGAGATTGTCTTTCCATAGTCACTCTATACAGACAATCTCATATCTAACTCCTATTAAGAAAGAATAATTTGTGATTTAAAGTATGTGATTTTGTTAGCTAAAGATAATAGAAGAGATCGTGTTTTGGCTAAGGAGTGTAATTTGTTGAAAATCACTTCTCATGAGTTCGTTTATAACACAAAAAGGAAATAATATTTTATCACTAAGAAATAGCTTTTTTTTTCCTAAACCGTTTACAAAAGGTGTCCCATCAACAAACTTTGTTAGCGTAGTTCAACAAACAATACTTAGACAATGAAGAACTCGTAGTTTAATTATGTCATATCAGTAATCCTGTACCATTTTGTATTGGAAGCAGTAGAACTACATTATATACGACAAACAGCTTCTTTTTTTAGGTATATTAATTAGTAAATTTCTAGTCACTTATCCTTAACTTAAAACTATTTCTGTGACTTACCAATGAGATGGGAATGGGGGAAAACTGCGAATATTTTCAGGCCATCCTCAGGAACAACCTGAAAAGATTATCATGATATTCTGAGTTACAAGAAAGTATCCTCAGTAGAGAAGCCATCTTTTTAATAAAATGTTTCTTGTTGACATATGGAATCAACTATATAGTACATGAATGACACCTAGCTTCAGTAATATAAATATAATAAATGTTAAAACTAATTGCAAACGCACAATATCAGACAAAGTAATTTAAGAAGGCTTCACTGAGAATCTAATCATAAAAAATGAATAAAAAACACAACTAGTCTTCAGCAAAAGTTTTAGAAAGCATTTCGTAAAAAAGGCCGTCGTAGCATTCCTTTGCGAAGCTAATAAAACTGTTGTACATATGATGATTTTCTATATGTTTTAATATACAAATTGAGATGAAATATCAAAAACATATATGATGAATATTTCTAGAACAAGAATCGTCAAAATGAATACTTTCATCATAAAGTATGATCTTCAGTTATAATCAGTGAGTATGGAAATTCAGAGAGATTTGTGTAAATACTGGAAAATTATCCTCTTTCCTAATTTGTTAAAAATGTTTAATAAAGTTAGACACACACACATATACAAACTCTACTTATACGTTTGTATTCTTCTGTTAGATGTCAACGATATAATTACATCAAATATTTCAATTTGCTCTTCAACAACATAAGAGTAAATGACAATAGTTAAACTATGATGAATATCATTCGCCCATCATGACGAAAAAGTAAAACAAAATTCTATTTTGACTAACATAGTTACCCAAGAAATCAGTTGTATGGTATATTTACGATATAAACTGTTTGCACCTCAGGTATGTCCAAAAATACACGTAGAAGTGATATTCTCATCTCTACTAGATGGCGCTTTCCACCACTGTCTGAAAGTATTAGTACGTGCGAAGACCTTTATAAACATCAGAATGTGTTCACAGGTCAGGGTTACCGAACACCTTCACAACTCACGACCCACCAGAACTGAGAAGCAATATTCTGGGAACTAGACTCCATTGGGAGAGGTTATTGGTTCTAATTTCTAAATTGAAATATGCTTATGTTTTATTGTGTTCTACAGCTCGCCCTATTACTTCTTTCGACCCACCTGTGGGTCGGGGTCGCGACTCAGAGTTCAAGATCGTTGCTCCAGTTGACGCCTGCATCAAAAATTAAATTCAGCACACTCAGTTTACACTCCTAAACTGCACGTTATAACAGCACTGGAATGTATTATTAGTTAGTTCCACCTTTAGGTGGCACCTGCATGTACATATCCATGGATATAAAAAGAAATTCTTATCTTTATATACATCTTAATATATTCTAAGTTACTTCAGTGCCAAAAAAAAAAGTAGAAGAAGAAGGAGTGTCTTGTGAAAGATTCAACTTTCGCGAAACTTACAACTTGTACATGTGTTAGGAATAGGTAGAAAATGTTTCCACTTTCGTTCATTGTAAAATAAATGAGCCTCATAAAGAAAGTAAGTTGGGAACTACATTTTTCATGACTTAACTATCTAGAGCAACGCTCCTTCACTATCATTGGTCCGTGATGTGAAAAACAAGTTCGGAACCACTAAACTAGGATACTTGAAGTTGAATAAAAATAAAAAACTTCGTGGAGTTATTTGGCTTAAAGGAGAATTCGTCAAAAGCAAACCCTCCCAACTGGAGTGTTCGAGAAAGATATTTTCGCCTTCGCTCCGCTCGTGGAAAAATTGTGGCTACTTTTTATAGAAAAAAAAATCCAGTGTTGTGGATTATATTGTCAGAAGAGGCAATGGAAGGATGGAGTTGAACTCTTGAACACGGTGACTTGGACAGAGGTAGAGGTGACGGCGGCTTGAGTTGTGACGCTCTACCAAAAATACCCAGGATGGTCTGAATGAAGTTTTAAAGGAAAATTTTGGCCGGATCGTGGAACTAAAGTTAAGAAGAAGAAGAAACCTAACTGGTACCTTTTCATGGTGGCCGGGACCTTAGAACATGTCTCAGAATTTGTTGTGAGAGGAAACGGGAATTTTCTGCACAGTAAAACAAGAACATGATAATTAGATCTGCACAAGAATGAACTACCTTATTTAACGACCGTTGTTTTTATTGATCTGATTGTTATAGGTATTGATTGTAATGGGGTAGAAGCTTGTAGGGCGCGCTGATGACAGTATGTAGTGATGCCGTGAGAGAATTTCTTTTTCCGTTTTCTTATAATATTTGTGTGCTAGTTTACACACAAGTCTTTCTTTAAGTGGAGGGATGTTGTTTACTCTTGAGGTAATGAAAGGAAAAAATATTGTACTCCTTTACAAAGAAACTACTGGCGAATTACAGCTCCATCTAAATATTATACACCTTTACAAAGAAACTACTGGCGAATTACAGCTCCATCTAAATATTATACTCCTTTACAAAGAAACTACTGGCGAATTACAGCTCCATCTAAATATTATACACCTTTACAAAGAAACTACTGGCGAATTACAGCTCCAT